TGCTCTAAGGCAATATAATACGACTTTTGATAAAGTCATATGTAGCATCCAATGTCAGGTTAGTATCTACTTGGGTCAATCACCGAGAGGTTGGACTAGCTCTTCTCTGTACGCACGTGTCCACCGATTGGGTATCTTTAAATCACTTGCAATTCAAATACCATACGTCTACAGACGTGGGCACTAGCATTATGATTTCCTTTCATACATGAAATCACAAATAATACACAGGGACATCGGCTCAGGCCGAAGGTAGCCCCCTGTCTTAAGATATATAGATCACATTGACCGCAAAACCCAAGTCCCAAATCTCCAAATCCAATGCTTTAGAACGCCGTGTAATAACAAGAAAGAAAATCCTGGTCAGGTGCAAAAGAGGGCAAGGGGTTATATAGAAGTAAAAGAAGAAAAAGAAGCGAATTTTTCAGTATATCACAGTATACGGAAAAGGAACAGTGGTTGAAAGAAAAGCAAACATGTGAAGGGGACGAAAACAAAGTGCACCTGGTGCAAGGCAAAGTGGAATCAGGATGGCAGATGACCCACTCCATTTACGCGCTAAGCCGTAATTCGTCTCAAGCAAAGCGATCAAACATTCATTGTATTCCTTTAGTGGTCATATCCAGCTCCTCTTTGCCATGGACTGGGGTTGTTCTGGTGCCTATAAGCGTTGGGGTTATTGAGTGGGGACGCAGTGTAACCCCGCGGGACGGGTGACGTTGACCGCGCATAGCCGGGAGGCTCTTGTCGTCCGGAAGCGTCGCTGGGGAACAGTGGCAAGGAAGGATCAACTGGAGAGACAGGGGCTTGACGACTGTTAGGCCCTTGATCATGGCCGTGCACATCGAGGTTTTGACGGTTGATACTGGCTCCGTTGCCGCTGGAGAAGGAGCCGTTGTCATCATCAAATGGACTAGACTTGTAGGATCCAGTCTTGATATCGCCGCGAGCAGCGGCACCCAGGGCATCCAACTCAGTCGTCAGCTGGCCCTGGGACTTGATGAAAGAGCCACGGTCGTCCCTCATGGGCTGGTACCGCATATCCGGGTTCTTTGACACGATGGCATAGATGGAAGCGATCAACACGAGGAGTAAGAGAATGAGAGCAAATACGGCATTGATCACGAAGAAGACAACACCCATGACACCTGTTACCAGGCCAGGTTGGTTGAAAACTTCAGAGAAGAAGAGAAGGAAGATGACGTTGAGGAAGTTCACGGCAGCGATGGAGATATTATAAATGTTGGTCTTCTTGTCCATCCATGGCCGCAGAACACTGACGGCAATCAACATACCGGCCTCAAGAATAACCAAGGCAACAGTCATCACAACTGGCGCTTCTTGACTCAGGCCGATAAACATGCCTTTAACCAGGATGTAGCCTAGAACTGGGATGACAAAATAGTATGCAGTCGCGCGGTATTGCACATACAAGAATCCCCACTTGTTCAGACATGTAGGGTCAGAGTAGAGGATGTATGCAGGGTTTTTGTGCATGGTAATGGAACGCTTTGCCAGAAGGATGACCTTGAAGGCAGCCCACCCCAGAGCCGCGAGAACCGAAAAGAACATGATCACAGCCAAGACAACCTCAGCTGCAGAGTCATGCTGGGTAAATTCCCACAAACAGAGGACGGTCATCTGAGGGAAACCAATCAAAGTAAGTCGGAACAAAATACCACGGGCGACGATCTTCCAACCGTTACGGAAATCTTGGAACTTATCAGTCTTCATCTTGCCGTTCTTAGCAAGAACCTCACAGCCGGCCTTGAAGAGCGACACGAGGATCATCACCACAGCCACGAAGAAAACGAAGAAGATAAGACCAGTCAGGAAAATATTAGTCGCCTCAATCCCGGCCTTGAAACCAACTCGCTTAATACCGCGGACAACAAGATTCTCGGTGTTGGCTGTCTCGGATTCGGCACCGGAACGCTTCAATATGTCTGATGCCTTCTTGACTAAACCCGTTGCTTCGTCGAGAGTTCGCTTTTTGAGCACTTGCACAGACGTTGTCGAGAGCTCGGAAAGGGTTGTTGAAGGCGTTCCTCCCGTCGATCTTTGATACCAGGTACAAATGCTTTCCAGAAACCCAATATGGATGATACCCATACTCCACTGGAAGTTTTGGGTCCACGCCTCAACGATCGGGGGCATATGAACAGATGTCATACCGATCATGGCCTGGGATTGCATAAAGCTGAAAAGTGACAGTGCATTGGCCGCCACGTGCGCGGCGGTGTTTGAATGTCCTAAGCCAGAAGTGATAGCAGAAGCAGCTAAGCCTAACCCAGAGATTATGGCTGTTGACCAGCCGACTCCTTTTTGGTAAACCGTCTTGCCATTTGATAAAGAAGCCTCAACGCACGCGATGCTTTCGCCAGTATCAGTGGAGTTGATGTAAATACGGACAGAAGCATCGAGATCGGGAACCGTATATGCAATGCCTACGTGATCACGTTAGCGACAATGACCGTCCCCAAGCATAAAGTTGGTACCCACCTGGGATACTATTTACGACATCTTGCGGAACATCGATCTGAGCCTTCGGAACATCGATAGGTCCGGCACTCATAGGGCATAGACCCCCAATGTTCATCTCGCAGGGGTCGAGTTCTTTTTTAAGCGCGGTGTAGCCATACGCATCAAGCACGATTTCCGCCTTGACTTTACCCGAGATTGCAGCGACTCCATCGAAACTGAAGACTAACGACCTGTTGTTCGGCGTGAACGTTACTTTGAAAAGGGTTGCTGTGAAGTTCGAACTGTCTTGGCATAGGTTAAGCGCATTGGATTCGATCAGTTTGGTCGCAGCTACTAGTGGTGCGCTGATAAAGGCGAGCAGAAGAGTGGACAGAAGCGCCTTGAACCGCATTTTCGTGATAGGATTACCGACTTCAACTCCTCCGGTAGGTAGCGAATGTAATTTTTATGGGTTATGAGCGAGAGAATAGGGTGACACCAGAAGCGAGATAGAATAGGTGGTACTCCAGAGCACCAGTTTGGGACCGGCCGGATGCGGAAGTCTCACGGTACACTGGGTCGTAATCTTGTGCCAAGTCGTCTAAAAGCGAGAGCGAGGAAGGAGGTATCCAAAATGGCGGAAGGTAAAAATTATTGTAAAATATTTCCTATATTGGTTACAACTTCACGTCATTGAAGTATCACTGAGCGGTAAATGGAAGACCACAGCGACTGCTCATCAAAAGCACAAGAGAAGGACGAGGGTGGGAGAGAGAGAAAAATAATATGTGAATAAAAGAAGGCACCAAATAAGCGAATGATAAAGAATGGAATGGGTTAACGAGTGTTAGATAGTCGGGGGGTAGTTGTAGAGAGTTTGAATGGTACAATAAAGCGAGCGGGACGGCGACACACAGTATAGCCTTGAAGGGGTCGAGACCAGGGGAGACGGATGGTTGCCTGAGTCTCCCAGGAACGGAGAGGGGACCGTTCTCACTCGAATTGACGAGGAGAGATTCGGAGGGGGGTGGAGGAAACGAGCGAAAGGGGAGAAGGTGTAGCAAAAAAAGGAAAAGAGAAAAGAAGAAGATGAAGAGATGAAGATGGCCTCTCTCTTGTCTCCTTCAGGCGACGATATTTCTTCAGGGGAGAATCAAAGCCGCTCAGCCCCGGTTGGAGGAGAGACGGTCGGAATGCTCGTGAAACACCTGACGCTGAGACCCTGACTCAGCACGGGGGGTGATTTAGGACGTCGGGGCCAATCACAGTCGGCGTAGCGATGGTCTGAAGAATGGATTTTCCTCGCCCTTGACCACACTTGTAGTAGCAACAACGAAACTAAAGTATGTGTGTCTGTGTCTGGAAGCACAACACTTCTGACATCAACCAGTTGGGCTCGAAAGAAACGAAGGGGTGAAATATGGGGAAGCCCGGGAGGGGAATGAAAATAGAAGAAAAGAGAAAATTAAAACCTAAAAATCTGGAAAAAAAACAACCAAGAAAATGAGAATGATGCCAACACAAAATTGACTATTACTACTACTACCCTACCGACAACCTGGCCATCTTCCCTACAAATTAACTCGGCTTTCGCTCTAAAGGAAAGCTCTCTTTTCCACTTTTACGTTTTCCCAGTGCCAGTCGGCGCACGCGCGTCTCTCAGGGGGGGTTGGTTCTGGGCCCGCATGCGGATGGTTATGCTCATTGCCCACGGTTCATACCTCTGATTTGCTCACCACTACCGGCCAAGAGAACCTAGTTAGCGCCTGCGAAAAGGCTGGGAATGATCCCAAGACCACACCAGATTGCGAGATTACAGCCATGACTTGATCTGGTGGAGTTGCCTCTCCAGATACGACACCGCAAGAGGTAAAGAAAAAAAAAAAAAAAGCCAACTACGGAGTACACGGTAGTATGATCTGTGGATCTACTTGCCGCTCGTCTTACCCTAATTACTTTCGTTCGGATGCTGAGGATAGCCGCCGTTCATCCCCATCCTGTCAATGAACACATCGACTCTGGAGTACTTGGCGACTTTTTTTTTTTTTGAATTTTGATTCCTTGCCTTATCTTTCTGCCTACTGACACCCTTTGCGCTTCGTAGGACTGGTGACTGCTGCTTCATGGCTTTCTATTAATAACTGACTACATGATATCTCTCAATGTATGTACTGCATGTCCACAGGTGCATACTGCTTGACCCACCAGCCATGATTGGCCCTGCAAGAGCTCCAATGAAAGTACCATCGCATATGCACTCCATACCCTCTATGCTCATAACGTGGTTTTATTTTCTATCGAAACTGTCAACCATTCACACCTCATGGTGATCTCCCAGTCTATGTAATATACGTAGTGAACAGTATGTCAATCCCAAGAGGCGGGTCTCCGCAGTTCTTGTCGCCGTGCTCCGTGTTCGTTTGCTCTACCAAACGGGTTTCTCCTCTTTCTTTTTCTTTAATTACACAACTCGGCTAGCGTTGAGATTACCAAGAAGGTTACGGACTAAGTGGCATTCTGTTCGTTAGTCTACAATGCACAGCCCCTCCCATGCAAAAACAAGGGCAATCAGGTTGCCCTTCTGAATTACTCCCAAGTCTCATAGAATGGCAAACTCGGTAATTAAATTGTCTTGGGCGTCAATTGATCCATTGTAAATTCCACGAGAATGGGAACAACAATCACCACAAGTGTCTTGGAATATAGATAAAATTCCGGGAATGGAAAGTTCCCCTCCTCCATCCCTGAGGTGATCAGCATTGATCACCGTTGTCGCTGCCATCATCGGAATGCGTGTCATGACGTCTTGACCCCATCGGATCCTCATGATCTGATGCGTCTCTGGGGCACGCGGTGAGTTTGCACTGTATTTTCCCCTGTATTTCCTGGTTCATGAAATTCTTGAAAAGTGAATGAATCATGACCAGGAATTAGTAGGGAAGGTCTTGACGATTTCTCAACCATGGGCGGCAAGGCGCTTCCTATTTTTAGCACCAGGTCTTTCTGAACCCAGACCGTGAAGACTTTTCCTGTCATGCGTGTCAAGCTTAACCACTGGCTTCACCATTTTCCTCATTAGTGGTCCTGTTTCATATCCAGTCCCTATTAATCTAGTTGAAATATATTACTAGCCTTCTATATGAGTGGCTCGGAATCTCGTTTCAGATAAGCCAACCGATGGGTAACATATATTGTAACTGCCTAACCAGACTCCCTGGGAACAGCTTAGCTAGAGCAACCAGTTCATCTCTTCCTTTGCCGCCAGAGAGTCGGCGGTGTCCTTGGCATTATCAACACTCATTAACTCAGGAAACACTGATTCGCCATTGTCCTCATGGCGCACATAATATGCCAGGTCGCTTTCAGGTTGTAGGTGCGTTTGACTGAATCCATTCCCTAGATAGGCGAACCGGTTCTTTGCCGCGTATGTGACGTGGAAATCCTCGAACCGCTGAACGGCTAGGGCTTCTATATAGCTCAGTCCGCTCCCTGGCCATAGTCCACTGACATTACCGGTATTGGCGTTTTTAAACCAAGATCGGCAGTCGCTCTCCCAGACTGTGCTCTTCATGAATAAGTCCTTCTGCTCCATGAAGTCATCGACCGCTTCTACCTTAGGCTCGAACGTGCGGATGTCTTCTTTCTGCCACCGATTGAGAAACCTAGCGATATAGTGTCCCTGCGCCTCGATGCAAACGATGACGGGTGAATTGGCCAGGGGGCTGTTAGGGCCAAGTAACATGAAGTAGTTCGGAAAACCGTGGGCCGCGACTCCCAGGTAACTTCGAGGTTCCTTTTCCCATGCTTCTGCAAGATTGGTGTCATCGCGACCTATTAATGGAAACGCGGGTCGAAAGCTGGTGTGGAAGCCTGTGGCACAAACCAAAACATCAAATGCATACTCGCTGCCGTCTAGCATTATGCCGCCAGACGGTATTATCTTCTTAATATTCCCAATGACAGGCGTGACGTTGGGCTTTTGGAGGCTTCCTAGGTATTCCGTACTGGGCTATAACGCTGTTAGTAGGATATGCTGCTGGCGAGGTAGGATATCAGACTGTAAGGCGACGACATCCTAGTGGATGTCCTGGAATCAGCTTTTCTGCAAGCCTATCATCACCAATCGCATCTTTCATTAATTGTTTCGACCGTTAAGTGGCTGCTTTTTGGGGCACCGTGTCTTTAAGGAAGAGGGGCAAAAAGGTCGCATAGTTGGCCTCGATATCTTTCCGTAGCCGGAGCAGTTCTCTGGGATTATCTTGAAACGTCTGCTTCTCTTCATCTGTGTAACTGCGTTTTTGGTATCTCAATTTTGGTATCACCCAGGTCGGTCTGCGCATGAAGGCTGTGACATGCTCTGCAGTTCTTATTGGCGCTGTTAGAGATGTGACGTACAAGGATAGCCTAACTTACCTTTGAAGCCCAGGAAGCAACTGTATACCGGAAGACCTAGCAAACTCAGCAACTTGGGGCCTTGAGCAGCAAGAAGCAACTAGCCTTACCCATTCCCAATCAACCCGACCCGCTTTCCAGTCAACGACAAGGATTCATCCCAATCTGCGGTATGGAGTAGCCTTCCATTGAATGACCCAAGACCTGGTGTAGAAGGCCAACGCCGGGAGTTTAAATAGCCAGTGGCGTTTATTAGGAAGTCACACCTTTTCTCAAATATTTCCTTGTTGGCATTCTCAACTCGAACCTTCCATTGTGAGTTTGCATCATCCCAATTCGCACCCACCACCCGATGGTTGCAATTGATAAAATCGCGAAGACCATGTTTGTCTGCAAACCCAGAGAAGTAGCTATGGACCCCCGGGGCTGATGCGTAACTAGCTGACCAGTCCCATTTAGGCTCGAAGGAGTAAGTGTACATGTGCCTGTTGAATAAGTTCTCTCTTCTGCCATGAAGTATATGATCCACTCACGATGGGACGTCACAGGTACCTGAGCCTGGTTATCAGATTTTCTTACTTGCCTCCTCGAGGATAAATACTCACATCCGGGATATCGATTCTCAAACCAAGTTCCCCCGATATCTTCATTCTTCTCATACACTTCCAGCGTATAGTCCGTAAATGATGTCTTAAACATATATGCAAGATATAATCCTGACGGCCCTGCTCCGATGCAGATAGCGCGCATCATGCGATTGGCATGGATGGGCTTATCACGACGATTCTCCATCATTGGTCATATAATATCGCGGTGATCTAAGATGCTTGTAACGAGAAATCATAATCTCGAGAAACACTCCCTTTACTCATCATTATTTGTATTCAGATACGTGTCCTCCACGTGGTCACGGTGTGATGTAATATCTTGGTATAGGGCTTCTCCATTCTTGTTTTTTCGTCCCTATGAACAAGGAAGTATTGTAAGATGAAGCTAATAGCAAGCACATCAAGCATAGTATACGTTACTAACTATCCAGTACCTTTACTAACACTTGATTCTGAACTTGGTGAATCTGCTGTTCATTCCTGGGTAAGCCCAGCTATGAGAGTTCTCAGGATCCTCCAAATCAGTCAGAAATCATAGAAAGTAATCAGTACGATATATGTATATAGAAGCTCTTAAAAGGGTATTTCATTAATCTAATTGAGAGAATCCCATTGATCTGCACGATGCTGTTCCCCACTGCTCAGGGCTCATATGATGCTACTTCTTCATACGGAATAGCGCCATTGCCAAGTAGGGGGTAATTTCTGCCTCAGTAGCATGGCTCATAATCTTCAGACCGCCCAGCTATCAATGGCTATCAGCACGTGATGCGGGAAGTTTGACCAGGCAATATTTTCGCTCCGCAAAAAATTGTCTTCCGCCGAGAAAAAAAAAAAAGGCTCCGCATCTCACGTTTTTCATTTGGCAAGTTTTCCAGGAAACCCCCCCCCTGGAGGAATTTACGCCAAAATGCCGATTCCTGTGGATAACGCTCAATCTATCTCGAAGAAGCGCAAGAGAAAGCATGGTGGAAATGCGCGCAAGGAAGAGGCTGCTGCCCCGGCTACAACTGAAGCCGTGACCGATTCTCCCGCAAAGGAGGAAGTTACCGTCGATAAGAAGAAGGCGAAGAAAGAAAAGTCCAAAAAGCAGAAGGTCGAACACATGTCTAGTGATGACGAGAAGAAAGATGCGGAGGAATCTGAGCAGGAGGCCTCTGACAATGAAGAGGAGAAGAGCGATGCTGAAGAGACACCCGCCGCCGACGGTGAGGATCTGCCTTCTGCGGATACAATCCGTCTGCCCCAGCAGGATGGCGATCCGGTGAAGTTCACGGAGCTGGGATTGTCAGAGAAGACTATGAAGGGTATCGAGGGAATGGGATTCGAGACGATGACGGAAGTCCAACGGCGTACAATTCCTCCTCTGCTTGCTGGTCGCGATGTCCTCGGTGCTGCAAAGACTGGTTCCGGAAAGACCTTGTCCTTCTTGATTCCTGCCATTGAAATGCTTAGCGCTCTACGATTCAAGCCGAGAAACGGTATGTACTGCGCATTCTCATGTGGTTCCACAGTTTGTATACTAATCCGTGCGTGTTTTGGTTAGGTACTGGTGCCATTATTGTCAGTCCAACTCGCGAGCTTGCACTTCAGATTTTCGGTCAAGTTAGGGAACTCTTGGCGCATCACAGCCAGACCTACGGTATTGTCATCGGAGGTGCAAACAGGAGAGCCGAGGCGGAGAAGCTCATGAAGGGTGTTAACCTTCTCGTGGCAACACCTGGACGTCTGCTCGATCATCTTCAGAATACGCAAGGATTTGTGTTCAAGAACTTGCGCACACTTATCAGTATGACAGCCCTTTCTGGCATTGCGAGTGGATGAATGGAATGACTGACTGTTGACAGTTGACGAGGCGGACCGTATCCTGGAAGTCGGTTTCGAGGATGAAATGCGCCAAATTGCCAAGATCCTTCCTTCTGAGAACAGACAAACCATGCTGTTCTCCGCGACGCAGACTACCAAGGTTGAAGATTTGGCTCGAATCTCTCTCAGACCTGGCCCTCTCTACATCAACGTCGACCATCGCAAGGAGCACAGTACCGTTGAGGGACTGGAGCAAGGCTATGTCATTTGTGAAGCTGACAAGCGTTTTTTGCTCCTGTTCTCTTTCCTCAAGCGCAACCTTAAGAAGAAGATCATCGTTTTCCTGAGCAGCTGCAACTCAGTCAAGTACTACGGTGAATTACTCAACGTAAGTATATCCAATATTGTGAGCTAAGGTTTGTAGCTAACGCGACGAAACTATAGTATATCGATCTCCCTGTGCTTGACTTGCACGGAAAGCAGAAGCAGCAGAAGCGGACCAACACATTCTTCGAGTTCTGCAATGCTAAGCAGGGAACTCTGATCTGTACAGACGTTGCCGCCCGAGGCTTAGATGTATGTCAATTGCCTCCCTACCCTAATGTTTACCTCTGTTACACCTGTCTAACTTGCTCAAGATTCCCGCCGTGGACTGGATTATCCAGTTCGACCCCCCAGATGACCCTCGTGACTACATTCACCGTGTTGGTCGTACAGCCCGTGGATCTAACGGAAAGGGCCGCAGTCTGATGTTCTTGCAACCCTCTGAAGTAGGGTTCCTGAAGCATCTGAAGGAGGCTCGGGTACCCGTCGTGGAGTTTGACTTCCCGGCTCAGAAGATTGTCAATGTTCAGTCTCAACTGGAGAAGCTCATTGGCCAGAACTACTATTTGAACAAGGTAAGCTTCCCTCATTCAAACATTATCTCTTGTTCTTATACTCATGCATCCGCAAACAGTCCGCCAAGGAAGGTTACCGCTCCTACCTTCAGGCATATGCCTCCCATTCTCTCCGGTCCGTCTTCGACGTGCACAAGCTCGACCTGGTTAAGGTGTCCAAGGGCTTCGGCTTCTCGACGCCTCCCCGCATCGATATCCAGCTCGGTTCCAGCCTGAAAGACAAACAACCACAGGGCCGACGGAACTACGGCAGCCAGCCCGGCTCGAAGTTCAAGCGCAAGCATAATGATAACTGATTCGATCTAGTAGAGGGAAAAAGCAATTGTCTTGCATGTTTTTTGTCCGTTGGCCTGGAGTTTAACCTGGATCTTTTTTTGTTCTATATTATTATCATGGCATATCCTATCTTACTTGCCTCCGTACATCAGCTATGGAATTGTATCTAGATACGTCTTCACAAGGAATACCAAAAATCACAGCATTCAACCCTTGCTCGTTCCCTTGTCTGGGTCATGTAGGTCATCCATGATGCCTAAGGTAGTACAGTTGGTAATGCGACCGCAGGTGCAGCCATCTATTTCTGTACTTTTTTTTCTTGCAAGGGTGTCATCTCCGGATACGACGTCCCCCGCAGCCAGGGGAGTCTGCAGTTTATGTTGTCTACGAACATACCCTGCACGTTTGGTACGATCGTCGGGTCATGAAAACGAAAGACACGAGAAAGCCGGCGTTTCTAGTTCAGAGCGTTGCAGTAACCACATTGGAGCAGCAGCATTTAGATAGCACCTACATTCTATACAACCTACCCCCGGCGACCGAGTTCCGGTTAAATAACGAGGGACGGTTCAGATAAGGGTCAGCGGAACCAAGGATACAGAGGGTTTCCGTTCCACGGTTCGCGTAAGCAGACAACATACGGAGCACATAAATATACTACTAATCCTCGGGTAATGGCAGGCACCCGCGCGGCCTGGAAAGGTTGATTTGATGAACGCACACTACGAATACTACCTAGTCGATCGTGGCGAACCGAGCAAGGTCGGGTGGCTGGGCTGGTGGCTGGGGAGGTTGATCCCCCACCAAGCAAAAGTTTTTGTCGGGCGAAAGCGAATGGATTAAACTAACGGTTAGTAACTTTGGGGAAAGGATCTCGGACAATCGTGTTTCAATGCTCGATTGGATTGAGAAGAGAAAGTAATAAGGCACGGTGCCTTAGGCACGACTGTATTCTCATTGCGACCAATCAGTGACATGGGATGACGGACTTTTTGTCACAAGGAAGGGATAATGTGATGAGTTGGCAGCGGCAGGGCCAATGGAAGTGGAGGAGGGAGGGTCGCCCGAGAGACTGGACGGAGCGTCTGTCAGGGTGGGTATCAATGCTCGTGGCGGGTCTACCTAGGTTGACTCTCACTCTCTCCACTTTTGGGGATGATCCCGTCAAAGCTGTGATTCTTTCATTCATAGGGTTGCAAAATGATGCTGCTGCTTATTAGGCTGCATTCTTCGTTCCTGGATCAGCGTCTATCTACGTCGAGAGAGGGCCACAATTGACGGCATAAGAGGTGTTTCATCGGTGCTTTCCTCGATGCCACTTCATACCTACGGGGAAGCGGTCTTGCTCGCTGCCAGTCTTCGTTTCATCTTCATGTTGGAAACCAAGAAATACCGACACACCTGTGCAACGGTCATAGGGCCATTGGTAGGGCTCTTGGAGACCGTCCGACAGGCAGACTCAATTCCCACAGAGGACAGATCACATTCCGGTCACACCACGTTGAGACATGGCCGCCTTCTCGGTGGAATGAACGCCTTCGTGATAGAAGAATGCTAAGAAGGAATGGAAGGCAAAGCGAAGCGGGAAAGAAGGTTTTTTGGGATTTTTATATGAACTTTGAAAGCCCAAGTGACGGAGGGGTTCCCGATTAAGAGTCCACTCAAGGTTACTTGCAATGTCAAGGTTGTAGGGAGAGGCCATCCACGTATATGTACTATTTACACAGTAGTATCTGGGGCCGTCTTGCATGGGGATCATTGGGCGAGAACCCCGATTTCGACCACAGCGTGATTTTCAACCTCCAACCATTAAGAATGGTTGATCAAGTTTCAAACGAGGGAAGATTCGAACAAATAAAAGAGAAGGACTGGAAAAACCAAAATGAGCCCAAAAAAATAAATAAATAATAAATAATAGTAATAATAATAAATAAAAGGCAAGGCTGGGAAACGATCTTTTCCTTGTCAGATGGGGCTGTTTTGTTGTCCGCCGCTAAACCATCTTTTAGTTCGCCAACTGTCCATCGATCCATCAAGCTATTATTATTATCCACGTTCATTCACTGTCTTTATACCCCCTCCGAACCAGCCTTCGCCTTTTTTCCATTTTTCCCAGGACCGCCATTATTCCCACCGCTCAGCAATCATTGTTGTCTGTGCCGATGGTGGCCAGTATCCCACCGTCTGGCTTTTGAATTTTCTT